GGTAATCGTTGGAATATCAAATCACTTTTTGACTTTTTTTGTTGAACCGTAAGCGTTCTTAGATATAATATAAAAGTTACAAGAAGTAAGCAGTGGTATTGTTAACGACATGTGTGCTCGTATCTAGGGAGTCTCGTATTTAAAGAATACCAATAAATATAATCCTGCCACCAGATGTTCCCTTACAATTTAAACTTAATCCATCCAACGCTGGCTTAGAAAGGTTGTTTTGTTTTAGTACTACATTTATATGGCTATCGGCGACATACTTTCTATTTCATTATAATAAAGATGTTACGTGCGATTTCATCCGCGAGAAACGCTTCTGCTTCGCCCCCGTAGGTCGTAGCCTGATGTTTAATATCCTATACCTTAACAATTGGCTATCAAAGCAAAAAGATCTTTTTAAATCCGACTAGTAGTTCCAGATATTAAGCACGTTCAAGCAAACAAACAAACAATTTAGCTTTATTATATTAATATAGATAATCACAGCGCCGTAATTTCGACTAGGTCAAGGTATTTTGAATAACGACATTTCACGCATTTTATCGATTTTACCATGTGTATATTATGAATCCAAAAAATAGTTTTGTTTGAATATTTAGATGTTATAATTTTGTATCACATTGTATATGCATATTGCATAACCTTTTATATATATCTTTATCCCACAGGAAATTTGCATCTGACCCATGCTATACGTGTACCGAGGCGCGCACAGAGTTTAGATAAAAGTTTGAAGCCGCGTATATTTCCCCCGCGTATTCGCCGCGGCCCTTGTTTCCAGTTCATATTGCGTTATCTCAATAAACATTTCCAACTTGAGTACCTGTCATAATGTATCTACCTGCTTGACTTATTGTATACTCAATAACTTGCCGCGTTCTGCTGCGATCGTACCTATTGATAGAATGTTCCTATGAAATATAACAGGTAATTTATATGTGGTAAACGTAACGCTCTGATTGCACTCTGGGCAATGATTCAGTATGGAGATACGTCGTACTAGATAAATTGATTATTGCGAAACATTCATCTCGTAACGTGTGCAAAGTGACTAATAGAATGTGTCGCGAATGTATTAAAACATCCTGATGTGGATGATTTAATTAATTGAAGTTGAACATATTAAAATATTTGCAGAAATTCTATAAACACCAACCAGTGATCAAGAGGCATCGTTCACTGTCTTGCATTTAATAAATCTAAATAATACTGTAAAAAACTAAAACTTTGCATGATAATAATAAAGACTGATGTAAATGTTGAGTACAAATGCAATGAGGGAAAAAACAACGGAGAACGTGTTTTTAATACCACTACAAATTATCACGTCTGTTCTTTCTCATTGAGGATTGTTTATTTATAGAAAGCTAGGGCCAGCTCTACTGGTTGCAACGGCACGTGTTTTCAATTTACAACCCACGTTGCTGTCTATTTAGGTATCATCGTCTTAATTACACATAATTTTTAATAAAGAAGAAAAATCATGCTTATATTGATTTTAATTACATAATGTAAATTTATCCTATTTATAGCATGAAACAGATTTTTACAACAAGTGCAAAAACCTAATCAACTTTACCGTTGGCTGTACGTAATGAACGTACTACATATTGAAGATATACTTCTTTATTTTGATTTTGATTTAATTATGAAAGTTGACACAATGGCAATCAATAACAAGTTTTTGACATTTAACGATAATTCCAGATTATTTAATTAGACTGTTATCAATTGCATTTAATTCCTCTTTCACAAACAAAGAGTACTGGCACAGGGATTAAAATTTTTAGTTATTTTTTCCCTTTTAACCTAAAGAAGTATAAATTCTTACGTGCGTACATGAGAAGGTAATCGATCGTAATAATACGTCTTCATAAATGTTTGTTAACGTTTCGGCCGAATCGCTGTTTCAATTAATGAAAAACAATTTACGAAGATAAATTTGATAATAACGATAAAGAGTATAGCGAAGAAGATATCATTCGTAATAGATTTTATATTTCTTTGAAATTAGGTTCAATTAGTTTATCTTCGGTAAATTAAATTTATCTTTTGGAATAACTGTTCATCCGATTATAAAATTAATAATAATTTTATCTGGATGAAGTGCATAATTATTAGCATTGATTTAAAAAGACAAGGTTACCGTTGAAAAAATGAAATTATATTGCAAAGGCTTTTGTAGAAATCAAATCTGTTTTCATTTTACACGCTGGTTAAACTTATTTCCGAACATTAGGAAAAACAGCTTCAAAACTTCGCGTGTTAATTTTTGTAGCGTAAAAAGGCTATAATTTTGAATTGCTTTACTTATGTAGGATATTATAATACGAGAATAGTTATTTGTTACAATATTTTTGTTGCAGTAATTTTGTAATGGAAAAGTGATATTAAAATTTTAAACACACGCAACTGTGTGACTTTAAATTTGAGTGTGTTTTAAAAATGTATTCCTCGTTGTTTAAAAAAGGAGTACATATATTTTTTTTTTACTTTCCGCATCATTTTGATATAAATTAATTAACAGTCTTAATAACTTCATTCGCATTTGTTTTATGGAACTACTAATTAAATGTATGATAAAAATATCTTAATTTTGCCTCCTCTCTAACAAAAACACCTGGTCTAAGTTTTGTTAAATAATCTCAATCCATATCTCAATTCTCTCTCAATCAAACGGCTAACATAATAAAAACTGAAGGTGGTTTTAGTGGTAACAGTTGTTTACAGACATCGTTAGCAAAATTCAATAAAAAATCGAAATGTTGTATCGTTAAGATTGCATTGTAGATGAATTGATATCGGACCAACAACCAAATCCTTGATCTCGGATTTGGTTGTTGGGCCACGGTATTTTTTAAGAAATATGTTTTAGGTCAAGACCTTTGGAAATCCAATTATTTTTTGGCGAAAATTTATCGTGACCTTTGTACCTTTTCATTCCCGGCTATCCTGTTCAAAAGGAATGCTTTCAGTTTCATAAATCAATTCAATTCATGGAAGTTAGAATACGAAATCTTTTTCAAAATGTCGGGCAGAATTGAACTTCTCAAAGAATTGATAATTAGATTTCGACATTTTAAATATTTATATTGTACGTCTTTGCGACAATTTGAATAGGTATTATAGTCTGAAAAACATCGTTCGAGTATTTATGTACTAGCGAATGATCTTCTTATTTTTTTATTTCTCTAGAGAACACGTGTACAACATCTCAGTGTAGAAAAGGTTTAGTAAACCGGGAGGTAATAAGGGCATTCTTGAATATTCATACACCCACGTATAGACGACTCTCTAATGTCGATATCGAATATTATAGCTATTTCCATCCTACTTTAGACGATTGAATGACGAGTCACTTTTAAACGTCTCTGTTTATTAAATAATAGCTTCGACCATATCCTGCATTTTACGTTCCCAGCGAGCTGAAGATTGTGATAATCAAATTACTAGAATTCATCCCATGCTGGCAGACGTTTTATTGTAAAGATATTTATTATCAACAAGTATATACATCTAGATTGGTAAGAAATCTACTAGCATAGAGTTTTTTTACACTAAGAGTCCTAAAATCCATTCTGTAAACTTAGTGCAGAGTAAGTTATTTTGTCTTTCTTGAATATTTGTTCTATTTATAAAATTAAACAGTCTCTGAAACGAATAAAACCTTTATTGTCAGATTGTTTAGGAAGCAATTCGAAATAAATGGCAACTGAGATGACACCCAAGCCCGGAGTTTTTATTTATAGACGAGCTCGCCCGGTGACTGTTATCTATATAATATTTCTTGTCAAAGACACGTTACGCTTTTTAAGAAAGAAATAATACAATATTATGAAATACAATTGTCAGTTACATGTACACCGATGTCATCCCCAAAGACGAAGATTCTGATATCGATTGGGTATTTTAAAGCTGATAAAGGCCAAAAAAAGATATTCTTTTTTTTATATGATTTTTGAGGTGGCTTTATTTTGACAGGATTTTATTAATCTCATTATAATTATGTCTAAATTATCAAAGGATTACTAGAATGTCTTATATAGTAATAAAAGTGTAGTGATATTATACCCAATTTTAAATATGTGTACATTACATATTCCAGTCAAATTACGGCATTTCCTCGACATTTAGGTATACCGCTAACGTGAATAATAGTCATCTCTTTCTTCATTCATATTTATTAAAATGTTGGCTTAAATATTCATGAAAGAAAAATGTTCTAGACTATCTTGATACTTTTTACCAACAATTTTCTTTATGTAATATTTATGCTACATAAGTTTTATTTATAATCATCATTAAAACTTTTTTTATTTATCGCAATTTAACGAGTCTCAATGAAAATGCGAAAAAATTCTGCACTGCAATTTAGGACTCCAAATAACTTTAATGGAAGATGCTATAAATTCTTAATACGATCAAAATTATCAATCACGATAATTTTCTGTACAAATCTCAATTGTATGTAAATTATGTATCAAATTAATTTTGGTATTTAAATATTAGAAAGTATATTCATACGTTTACAATGTGAAAATGCTTTATAAATAATTTGTTACAATACGTCTTCTTTTGAATGATTTCATTTTATTGCCCAATTTCAAAATGTTATAAATAAAGAAGAGAGAAAGAAAAATAAAATGTGAGATAACTAACATCTTTGTCCCGATGCTAACTTGTTGGAATAGGGTTTAGGCACAAAGAAAATAAAGAGAACCTACAAATACCTGTAAATCTTGTTAAGTGGCGTGGAATTGTAAAAGAAGCCACCGGCTAGATTTAATCTACAATTTGCGAGTATATGTTGTCATTGAATGTCTACAATATCTTAAGCAAGAACACGTTAAGAAAGTGGAAAGATTGTAGCGAGTCATTTTCTCGCTTTAGCAAAATACCCCGTCGGTCATACTCTAACACGATTTATCCATTACCATATAGCTTGCTTAATACGGTTAGAACCAAGTCTATCGCAATAATTGGGTAATATAATGGATCGCTGTTCGATTAATGTTCGTAGCTTTCATAATGCTGCCGAGGATGCATACACATTTAAGGTTACTTACGCGTCGCGTCTGGTACGCTCGTCCCAGAATTTGTCCCAGAAGGTGGAACGGTTTTTGATTCTGAGCACGCTAGTGCTGAGTGTGCGAGGTAGGGTGCCGCCACTGCTGCTGGCTGACACCCCGGTGGACATGCTATGCTCCGAGGCTGAACTCTTCGCGATGAACGTTGTCCCGCCCCCACCCGCGCCCAGTCGATCCGACTGGGACCCTGAACGCTGCATTTCGTCTTTGGTATTACACACGCACTACATGATTCGCTGCACAATTGCCCATGCCAGACGAATTATCGTGGAGCATGTTCACCATTACGAGGTTATTATGCTCCGTTTCGTGAAAGGTCAGATGTTCCCGCGCGATTCAATACAAACACTTGGCTCAACCACCTTACGATTACGCGAGTGAAACCAAGGAATTTAAAGCGTTTGCTTTTTTTATTTAATTAACAATCGTCAGGCAAATTCAATGTTGTAAAGTCAGATAAGGATATAATTCTATTGTGTGTGGCTTTATCTCACCCGCGTGTCCTTATCAACGTTTTAACAAGTAGTGTTTTGTAGCGCTCGAACGGGGAAACTATTAAATGCACAGGTTTACAATCAATAGCGCGAAGCTGCTGACGAGCGTTCGAAACTTTTGAGCGTTGGCGGTGCGTCCTTGACACTAATCAGTTTGTAGGACTCCGCTCCGGCGTCGGAATCAACGCTGGGCGAAACACACCCAGCGTGCAACAACAAGTGAGTTTACGTCCAGCGATACGACCCGCTACTGCACTGCGTAACGAGTCCCGGCGTGCGTGCTCGCGGCTCGAACGGGGGCGTCGAGACGGGGCTGCCCGGGGGGCTTCAGCGGAACGACACGGGGGGCGAGTGACGGGGCATGTAGTGGCGTGCCGCCGGCGCGCCGCGCGGACTGTCAATGAAGATCGGCTCGGGGGCGAGGCGCGGCGGGCGGCGTGGCGTCGGCGTCGCGCTCGCTCGCCCGGCCGCCGACGACGCGCGACTCCGCCCGAGGATAAATTTGGCGCTAATGGAAACCGGCGGTGGGCGCCAGTAATCAATGCCCGAGTGGGGATCGAGAACCAGCCGGACCAGACCGCGCCGGATTCAGGTGATTGGCGAAAAACTACGCACGCTACAGTTCCACCGTAGTGAACAGGTTCGGCATCTCGACCCGGATACCGCTGTATAGCAGCTCGAAAACATCCATCGCTGATGTGAATTAAAATCGTTTACTGCTCGAATGGTTTACTTTTTAATTAGATATCGATAATAGAATCCGACTGAATTCCTTTTATTTATTAAAAAAAAATTATATGATCGGAGCAAAGAAGCAGGAAAATTTTGTTCTATTATTTTATTAAAAGGATCGACCTTAGATATTGGCTTGGTAAACGTTAATGGAAGGTTTCAATTACGCATTATCCTAATCTTATAAAAGTATTTATTCCATTTACGTTGAGCTTACTTTGTACGCAATTTATTAGTTATATTTTTATTTTATTATTCGAATTTAGATTTCTTTCAAATTTTGTAATTACAATTTTAATTATTATCAGTAACAAGCTCTCACCTTATTCAATAAAGTTAGTGAAAAGATAATAATAATGTTCCTCTAAATTTTTATTTCTAAAATAATTTCAGGCATAAAACTCGTTGTGTTTTATTAAGGGTAAGAAATCCGAAAAGACGAAAAATTTATTATTGAACGTCACTCAGAACTTTTATATTACTAGTATTAGATATTTTCTAACATAAAAATTACAGATTATTTTCTATATTAAATTATTATAACGATGATAGAAGTTTATTATGGTATCACGGGAGGATTGAAAATTTGCCCTCTTTGATGAGAATTGTGCGTATACACGTGTATTCATGTTGTCACAAAGAGAAATTCAATATTAGGAAGAAGTTACCTTTGTAGAGTTGTTCTAAGAAAATGTAAATTCACATTATTTCGAAAATGTTTTTTCCAGTTGGATCTTGTTTCTATAATAAAGCTGTTCTTTAGGTAATTGTTTTTGAATTATTTTATAGGAAATGAGCACTTCATCGGTTAACTAAAAATAAATTTACTATAAGCCTACCGTTCTCCCAGACGTTCAAAGGAAAAGATTTATTGTTACCAGATTCGATTTAGTATCGGGGCAATACCCTATGCATTATTGGGTTTGGTTGAGATAAAAGTAATAGTTGCTTAGATCTGGATTTGCACTGCAACCGAAAGTCTCTTCTATTGTAATTGCTGGTAAGTTATTGAAAGAATGTGTTTTGAGTTTCTAAACAAAGGTGGCAGACCTTTGTTTAGAAACTCGCTCATAGTGAAGTGTTCACATTAGCAAATGAGAGAGTGACATTGTATTGATAGTGATTTTCTTAAAGTTTTTGTTTAGCCTACATTATATTTGACTCTCCAAACTAGCCATACGTAATATGTCGTTAAGGTAAAAATATGAAGTCTACATTTCGTGAGTAAATCATCATCATAACTTTCATCGATATTGAATTCGATAGTTAAAACTAATGTGCAATTAATTTTCTTTATTACGAAGCAATAATTATAACGGAATGATGAATTCGGAAATTGGCAACTCTCGGCAATGTAAATAGTTACTAACATTTAATAATATTGGCAACGACTATTATTCGATATTAATAGGGTTTTTGTCCATAATTTTGATCACTGTTTTATTTTTCAGTACAATTTCAATTATATTCACATTATGATAAAGAGTAACTTAATAATTAAACATATAGATAAAAATGTAGCAAAACTTTTCGCCGCTGCTAGAATTGATAAATCCGGAAGGCGTATGCGTTGCAAGAAAGGTTCGAATATGTTGCATTGCAATTTTATCTACACATTTTTAACTATATTTCTTTGTTAATTTATAAGTTTACAGTGAAAAAAAAAAATATTTCCTTTTTTTAAAATAAAGTGTATTATTTTTTAAGAATTTAATTTAAACTCTCCGCTTTAGATTTGATGAAACAATTATATAGAAACGAAATTAATACCATGAAACTCACCTCATCGTCAAACGAGAATGGTCAATGTTAGAAATGTATGCTATAATATTTAATATGGAAAGCGGAAACCACATAAATAAAAAATGAATGGTTTAAAGACGACAAAAGTGAAAGGGACGAGGGGAAATAGCCGGGCAACACTACATAAAGCCCATGCAATATAATGTTTTGCATGCTTTTTATGCTAGTACATACGCTCGGTCCAGTTGTGCAGCCTCGGTCTCCTTGAATCTGCAAGCAATTAAAAATATGGAAAAGAAAGATAGAAACATAGGACACATTCATCGTGCCACCTAAGCGGTATTCACGGTTACGGTATATCCCGATGTCCGACGAAGCAGTCACAGTAGTCCGCGTTAACAGGGAAGAAAATCACTGTAATGCAATGGGAGCATCTTTAAATTAAAATAGGCTCAGCGGCGATTGACTCTATCGAAGATAACTTTAACGCGCTGTTGCTATGGCTACACATTATTTTTGTAATAACATTATGAATCATTAGTATGAAATATCCTTAATTGGCTTACTATTTGCTGCTTTGACGGACATCGGGCGACAGCAGGGTTCAGCATCACAACAACAGATATCGTGCTATACTTGTGTAGTGGCAGGCCCAGTTGTGACAGTGATAAGTAGCGTTAACAGTTAGGTCTAATCGATCGGCCGTCCATTTAATTGGCACTACCACATACTCGCTCAGCTTACGCACAAGACAACACAGTTTAGGGATCCATTCCTCACATAGAATACATGCTATCACCTGATAATGTAGGCTGTGTAAGTAAGCTAGCTACTTTTATGTTAGAATTCTATATGTATAAGGTACGTAATATCTTACTTTGTCCCTTTGTCCAATGTATCTCGTAATTGTGACTTGCCTTTTGCTGTGCAGCGTGTGTTACATTGTAATTGTATAAATGGTGAATCACTTTGAAGTGGACGCGGCTCAAGGTATTTTATTGTTTAAGCAATAATAGTGACAATATTGAATGTCTTTCAGAATTTCTTCAGACCTTGGTGATAAATGTACCTACCTAAATGCCACGTCTAATACCTATTTTTTTAAATGTGATACTTCTACTACTCCTTTCTTTATAAGTATTACTTTTCATTTCTTTACTTTCATAATGGATTGTTTGTGTAAGAATAGGTATCAAATATCTTGTTTCACTCTTTCATGTTTCATTACGCAGTCCGTCCGCTTTGTGTTCATTCGCATGGAATTGGCGACGTTGAGGTTTTGAACTTAGCGATTCATCTTTGCGTTATAAATTTAGCACAAAATATTTGCTGCTATTAGATTCAAATTTATGGAGAGATACTTAAATGTTTGATTGAAATTTTTATTAATTTGGTTATCATGAAATTGTGTGGTCTTAATTGCCCTGTAATTTCAGCACTGCATAAATTTTCTGATGTACTTATATTTTGATATTCGACGAACAATATTTTTTTTTTGGAGTGAATAGGATAGGATGGATGGTAGTTGAATTAGGCCCCGCGATGTTACCCAACAACGCATTCAGAGTCACAGTGGTACAGGGGGCTTGATCTGGAGACTGCGGGGACGCCCGAACCTCCCCAGGGATCGCCGTCGGGTCCTCATTAATTACTAATAAAAACATGAAAATTAAAATCTTAACGTCTTTTATCTACATTGTTGTTTAGGATTTGAAGCAATGCTTGGCGCATTTCTTGTTATAACCTTTCCAGTATACAAACAATTTCGAATATCGTTTTACAACGATAATTCGAACGAGAGATGTCGCCATTGCTTCTTATAAATTTAGTTTTTTTATAGTGCATGCCATGCATTGCGCTGCGATAGCCATGGATGCGCCAAGCATTGCTGCAAATGCTAAACAACAATATAGATAAAAGACGTTAAGATTTTCGTCGGTGTGGCTATTATACCTTTAGCCTTGTGGCTAGAGCGTCAGGCCGCGAATGCCGAAGACGGGGGTTCGATTCCCACAGCGGCGACAATATTTTCGTACTTTTTCTACACGTTTTAATATTAAATCTTGAGTGCAGAGATTATCACTATAAAAAAATTTAAAAACCTGAAAATCACAAAAATTGTTGTTATGGTCGAATTTCGACCACTAGTATAATTAATTGCTCTAAGGGAATAATCGCGCTTGAAGTTCATGTTATTTCTAGAATTTAATATGGTGTCCTTTCTATATGTAAATTTTGTGCATATTTTGAGCTTGTTTGCTAAATTTGACGTTTTTTTTTACGTGAGAAAGTGGCAAGGAAGCTTGCGATTCACATGATGTTAAGTGATCGCAAATGCGTTGCCACCTTTAAATGAAATGGACCCCGGCTATCTCACTCAACAGACGAAACGCAGAACTGCAACACTTCTACTTTACGCAGATTTTTGTATAATTGTATTTTCAAATTCAAGAAGACGATTTCGCGTTATTATTAGATCAATTCTGAGAAATTTCTCATTAAATTGCCACGAGAATACAATTATATTATTAATTTAGTGTAAATCCGGAGGAGTAAGTTTAAATTTGAGTAGGTACATATTGAAATTGGTGAAATATGAGTTATTATAAATATGGGTCATGTGTGTGCAATGTTCTATAAAACCTACTGGATATCGCTTAGGACTCTGTGATAATAGATTTCTAAAAAGGCATAAAACAATACATTAAATGTAGTGTTAACTTTACATAAATGATTACAGTGGCCAAATTTCTGCTCAAATTTTGAAGGTGTTAACTAACCATATGATTTCTAAACTTATGTATACTAACCCACTCTACAGACATTAAAGATAAGACAAATTCGAACTTTTTGAGCAATCTATCTGAATTATGTGTCTGTAATCTTGTTTACACCAAGAACAAAACTTAATATTTCAAGGTCTTTTGGTTCGTAGAACAAAGATTTCTTAATATCGAGGCATTTATACAGATGTAAAAGGTTTTCGATAACTAATTTATTTAAATCGCATTCTGTCATGAAAAGTTCATTGAATAATGATGACGAGATGGATAATGATAAGATAATGGGAACGTAATTTATTGATTTTGGTAAAGGGACCCAAAAGCTTGTCCACATTCCCGGATTAATGTCGATTCATTAACAAACTTTTTAAACTGTATTCATGGCTTCTACGAGAACATCCTGGAATAAAATGAGTGATAAAAAGAATAATAATGATATGACATGTTAATGCAGTTAAAAATATGAAAGTTAGAAATATAAGATCAAGTTTTTCATCATTCTGAAAACTTCTTCCTTAAAAATATTACATGGTGAAATGGAGAGAAAGATAAAAGTTGAACGTGCCTGCTCTTTTTTGGACAAAGTACAAAATCGTAGAAAAAATCCCAAGTAATTCGTAATTTTCTACGATTTTGGCATTACGACTAAGGCCAATTTAGTTAAATAAATTGTTTCACATCAAAAGGTAGTTTGATTTGTAACATTGACGAGAATTATAGTAGAGCAACATATCGATCACTGTACAGTCACTATTTATAACAAAAATAACACTGTGAACGGTGAGCAGTTGATTTTAAAATGAACCAATACAGTACGGTAGCGTTAAGTGTTACCGCAATAATAATAAAAGAGCACAAAGTTAGTCAGTAGGTATTTAAAATACTATTGATTTTTATGTAACATAGAAATATACGGATTAAAATAAATTTCTGTATTTTTTTTAAATAGCTAAATTTATTTTGAAAAAGTGCTTTTCAATTTATTTTCTTCAATTTAGTTTTTTCAAGCTCTTGTGAACGTCAAAACTTAACTGGTTTCTTAAATTAGACCTATTTGGTGGAAAATAAGTCGAAAACTCTGGCGTTGTTTCAAATAATTCCTATTTTTTTGAGTGTTAAAAAATAATATTTGGTACATAAAACTTCAAAGTATAAGGAATTTTGCCCTAATAATTTGTAATTTGTAATATTGAAAAGATTTATCTTTGAATAGGATAGGTAAAAATTTTTCCTTTTACAGTGAAAAACATATAATTCTGAAAAAGAGGTCGGAGGTGTTTGAGGATTTTTCTGATGTTGCGAACAAATAATATCAGACAAATAAATTGCGACACAACCAAAGGAATAAAATGCTTTCTTATTCGATCATAAAGAACTTTCATATTTCGTAGCTGAATTTTATAAATTTGCTAGTGTTTAGATTCATGGGTGGAATGTAGGCGGGAAAGAGTCGAGACGTAGAACAGGGGTCTGGGAGAACGAGATAACGCAGAGGAAAAAGGGAGGGGGGAGGGTCGAAAGAAAACGGCTAAATTAAGGAGTGTATGATTGAAGTTTTTACCAGATTGTGTGTGTCCAGTAAGTAAGTAAGTCTAGTAAGGAATGCAGAAAATGTATAGAATAGAACAATTTCATTCTTAATGTAAAAGTTGAGAGCAAGGGTTAGTGTTTATTTTTCGTTAATTGGCGTAGTGAAAATCTAAAAAGTTTTCTTTGAATGTTTATTATTGACACGTGTCAATGTATAAGATAGTTATCGCACATGTTAAGCTGCAGAGTCGTTTGAAAAGTCACGTATTCAATTAGAATTTCATGGGCGGTTAGCAACTCTTTAAGCTTTTACTAGAAAACGTGCTTTTTAAAATTGCTCAACATATAAATTTCAGCACTAGAAACAACAAAAGAAAACCTTTCATTTCTTAAAATTTTAAAGTTGAATGAAAATGTCATATTGACTGTAAAATCTTCGTATTTATAATTTGTATGTATAGTTCTATTTATTTATTTACAAATTGTTAATGTATTATCTAAAATTATTGGTACGGGCGGTCAAATGTAATTTGCGACGGAAATCCGTGGAGATTCCGTTAAGACATATTCGGCAGCTTTTGAGTACATTTCCGGATTATAACTTCCATAAAATCTCGTACGAAATATTTCTCATACGTCGTTGGTTGAATCTAAAAATATCGTAAGCGGTTGTGATAAGTTTGACTATTTATAAGCGTGTACCTACTTTAGACCTTTAATAAATGTGTATGTACTATTTTTTTAATATCTTCTGGCCATTCGTGAAATACTTATTGTTCTATAAAAGAAGAAAATAACTGCATTGCTCAAAAATTTTCACTATATCATAGGCAACAAATATTTTTACAGAACGAAGTGTTCCATGTGTTTTAATCCTCTTCTTGCACTCGTAAGTTTCGTTCCAATCTGACAGTTCTCCGACACGAAGGGGGAGAAACTGCGCATTTATTCGAGTTTCAACTCGAAATTAACAAAGTAAGCGCGACATTAAGACTTGTCAGTTATTTTCCCCTTATTCGTTGCGGTGTCCGTAAACGAATAAAGTTTCAGTCCAATACCTTCGTGTGTTTCATCCCGCCGTTGGTGGTTTCGTTCTTAGGCGTCACTTACCTTTCGCTGGCGATCGAGCTGTTCCTCGACATGGACTTGGGCGACATTTCGAAGTCGGAGTCGGAGCGGTAGAGGAAGGACTCGCGCCGCTGCGGCATCGCTTGGAGCACCAGTGCGGCGGATGGAGAGCCGCCCTCCAGAGGGGAGCGGGCACCACCCGCCGCGCCGCTGGGGCCCCCATTTTCAACGTCGAAGCTGGAACAAAACCCGACCATTAATCCATTATTACGACCTCTATGGCGTAGTGGGTAATACCTGCCTTCTGCGTCAGAGGGTGTGGGTTCGGTCTCCACTACTGGAAAAATATTGTGTGATGAACATTGTGTTTTTCCAGTGTCTGGGTGTTTACACATATATACATAGTACGTATTTATTTACAAAAGAAAAATATGTTTAAGTATGTTTATCAGTTATCTAGTACCCATAGTACAAGCGTTGCTTAGTTTGGGACTACAGTACGTTGTGTAAAAATGTGTCCTATATATTTATTTATAGGTTATTTATTATCATCATCCTTCTGCCCTTATCCCATCCAGTTGGGTTCGGAATATGTGGATCATGTTGTAAGCGGTTCTGGCTACGCCTGCTTACCTGACATCAACTCTCCTTGGGAAAAGACCATTAATCCATTGTCAGCAATGTTGTACAAATAAGAGGTAGTTATAACACAAGCGCACCGAATCTGGGGCACTCTAATTACGCCAATTGGTGTAATTAGATTGCAACTCTATACACGCTATCTTATTCCGTATGATACGCTCTATATCATCTGTCAAATTCACTTATATATGTCATGTAATATAAAGCGGAACAATTTTTAAACGCCGCGCAGTATGGACATGCGTCATCTTTATTAAATCATCATTTAAGGACTATAGGTTCCTTCGAAAACAGCTATTGATAAAGGTTAAACATTTAACCTCTTACAATGACTGTTATCATAAATTCATAACAATATATTAGGTAATGAAAGCAAGTCAAGCATGGACTAACTCTCGATTTCTTCTAACAATCAAAATAACGAGTGAAGTGAGATGCTTATAAAAAGTTTCTGCATTGCGAACTAGTTTATTACTATAATTAGAGTTCTCAGTAGGCCGGAGTCGCTCTTGTATCTTGAATTATTTTACCTATAAACATTTGATAAAATACAACGGAGTATTAATACCACTTTATTTTATTTTTTATGTGAGAAGATGGCAAGCGAGCGGGCGAATCACCCGATCTTAAGCCGCCGTCCATTGACATTTGCCACAACCGTAGGGTTGCAGACGCGTTGCCTATACAGTGGTCCCCGGCTAAATCACTCACCAGACGAAATGCAGAAGCATAACAATTCCACTTCACGCCGGTCTTCTGTGAGGTCGTGGTACTTACCCGGACAGACCTAACCATTCGACCTGAAGGCAACAACGAAAACTGTTTCGTGGCCCTACCATAATGAATAATAATAATTTGATCGTTGAAGCTTTCTGTATAATACTCTCATATATACTACGGCAAATTCTTCTGTAACACTTTACGGTGGTAGAGCCACGTTTTACGGTGGTAGGTCAAGCAATTGCCGGATTCTTTTCTTAATTGTTAGGAAAATATGTCGGACGTCAGTGTGTCGTCTTTTCACTTTTTATTTCATTGTTTTCTTATTAAATATGCCGTGGTAAAATTTGGCACAATGCAAACACTAATCTTTATCTCTATAAGCAATGAGATTATGTGAAAGATGGGGAAGAGACAAAGTGTAGTACCATAATTTTATTAATTGTCCGCGCAAGCATTGTATTTCAGCAATGTACGACAGAACGAAATAGCTTATCCAAAATTAGACATAAGTTCAGAAGTTTTATAATATTACGATCTACTATATTTTATTAATATATTAATTTATTAATTTCCTTATGTAGTTGTTATTAAAAGCTGTGGTGAAGAAATTAATAACGCAAAAACACGCAATGCAATAAAGCGATAATCGATAATCAAAAGTACAACAACGATTATCGGCAGTGATGTGCTTAATCTATTGCTACTGTATTACAATACCTTTTCATTTTCGCTACAGCCGGTGTACAAATTAATGTACATTTAATTATTGCATATATTATTTCAGCGATAGAAATATAACATTTTTGTACTTTTTAATAAATCACAAATATTTCTGTAAATATACTAATGTAGAAAACCCAGACTTTATGAAGTATGAAACATGATTATGCGCCTTCGTATGAGTAAAAAAAATAATTAAACATGACTATGTGGTTAGAAAACAACTTGGTAAACGAAACAGAGCCATCTATCGACGAGAATGACACATTCCACCAAACCAATGTGCTGAAGGCATCTTTGCTGTTTAGTAATGCCTACTGCCCCCACGAGAGGTCACTAATTCAATACAGCATATGAGATATATGGTTACCCACATAATTAATTCATTGCAGATTGTATCATTGTATGTATAACACAAAATTTAATTAACTCATGAAAATGGAGTAGTAAAATGATAAGACTCTACGCCACGAAAATCGAAAGTGAAGCATAGTAAGTAAGCCGGATCGTTTAAACATAAATATCTCGCACATCATAATAAACCGATCGCAGCCGTTATACGTGACACAGCGTCTAGGTACTGTTTATTTCAAGTAATAAAAAAATTAATGGTATTTATTGGTGTGAAATGGTGTACGAATAACATATCCCAGGTAAGATACTAATTGATGGTTGATTTATTTTTGACATTTTAAAATCATTTCTCTCAGAACACAAAACCTTAACAGATGTAAATGCCAGGTATCAGAAAATAATTGGGTAATTTTTCCTAAGGATTGAGTAATACAATTTATTTTGCGTATAATTATTTTATAGGTTTTTTACAGCAAATTAACCATGGACAGTAGATAAAACTATAAAAAACTTCAAAAAATCCAAAACAAGCTTGATATGTAGGTAACTATAAAATTAGATGAGAACATTTTGTATACCACAAAATATTAACAATATGTAACGAAAAGGAACATTCGTACATATTATTTGAAATATTTGAAAAATAGTCCTTTACAATAATGTAAAGTATTATTTTTTTAAGTTTAGAAATATGTACATATTTCTTAAATTAAAAAACACATTTTTTGCACTTACTCAGGTATAGAATTAAAAAATCATATTTCATCATATTTCTAAATTAGAATGTAGAGCAAAGAACACAAAGACAGTAAACAGTAAAAAGCAGGTACGAGTATATAAAAAATTAATTCGGCACAATGGATTTTACTCTGTGTTTTTGCATCTTGTATCTTGTATAACTGATGTTTTTGCTTTCAGTCCCAAGACTAGCTTCACCTGACGCAGAACCGGTAGGCTAGCCAGAACTCACGAGTTTGGGCATTTTTTGCATTATTTGTGTGTTTTAACAACTAGCTGCCAGCTGCAGCAATGTGTTTCTTGTCATTCATACAAAAAGTATTTAATTATAATTTTAACTATACTTTTGTTCAATAGTTGTACTTGATGAAAACTTTGTACAATCTTCAGATGTCTAATCTGAAAATGTGCGAAGCCGCAGCGGGTCGCTAGTGTTATAGTCCAACAGAAGAAGTCGATAAAGCGGGTAAGATAATCTTGATCATTGTTAATATTAATATCGTTTTTCTTATCTACGCGAATATTATATAATTTAACTAATTTGCAGATTTTATCGCGGTTTATTTTAAACCGCATATAAAACCACCGCGAGCATCAGATTTCATTTATAACTACCAAAAAAAGGTCAAAGAAAATTAAAAGCCTAAAAACTAGCATTTTACGCTTAAATTGTTGATATGCTCCATGCATACTCTCTGAAAAATTCCTGAGTATCATTACATAGTATAAAACAAAGTCGTCCCGCGTCGTCATGTATGCTTAGATCTTGAAAACTACGCAACAACGGATCTTGATGCGGTTTTTTACTAGATAAAGTGATTCAAGAGGAAGGTTTATATGTATAATACATTGCACCCGCGCGAAGCCGGGTCGTGTCGCTAGTTGAATATAAGGTGCCCTAATAGTCATAAGTAACACTGACGATTTGTCGCTGAGCTAATTAACCTAAACAAAACTTTACCTAAACAAAATTCCTTTCTTAAAATATCAACACAAGCTTTTTGAAAATAAGTTGAATCGTCACTTCGGCAGCGGTAAATATTTCTGGAAAATAATTAGGGAGGATTGTTTAAGATTGCTACATCTTAATCATGAATACGAAGGAGCATTTGTTACTGCGACCACGCGATAACATTTCAATGTAACGAAATCGAGTTCGCTTGCCAGGGCTCAACGATCGAAACTCGGGGTCGGAAACCTGCCCCGGGGATTTGTAATCAATCGGACGAATCTCGGTACTTGTAGGTAGAGTAATATCAATCTGAGGTGATACATGGCACTTCAGATTTATCCCTCTAAAATCTTATTCATAGTAAACCTGCAAATCTTTTTTTTTTCTTGATCTGGAACAAGCGCAGGTAACAAAATATTTTATTTCTCTTTTTTTATTTCCCTGCCAGTTTTATTGAATGATGTATGTCAGTACAATTTTTACAAAACTTTAAAGTCGTTTACTTTCGTTTGAGCACATTCCAATCAAATCAAACTGTTTTCGTATTCATTTGTAATAATATGATGTAAATCGAGGACCGTTAGCGAAGCGTTGTAATTTTGTAAGGTAAATACGTCACTCAAAGATAAAATACATGCATTTCAGGTTATGGCAGAAATCTTTAAATTAATAGTGTTCCAACCCAAAAAGCTTTCATTAAAGTTCATCGCTGAAAACTCTGAACAGAAACAAAACATATTTCTAATTGTTCTATCGTTTTTTAATTAGTTTAGGCAAAAGTTACGATACCTTTTATTTTGAAAGAAGCGTTTGGAAAGAAAGGTGACACAACAATCCGATAATCATATTGGGATCTTTCTATGAATGCCCTGATTATTAAGAACCAGTAGCTTACTAATGGCTGATTTACAAAGTAGTAAACTGAATATACATTAATTCATAAGATTATATTAAATGAAACTAGTTTACGGATTTTTCATATAAATTCAAATCAAAATAAAAACGCGATAAAATCCGTAAAGTAGTTTCATTTAATATGTATAATATTCGCGTAAAATCTAGAAGTTCATAACAGTAATTAGTCATACAAATAAAAAGCTGCATTGAGTAAAATATTATTTTATCTATTTTTCCCTCAAGTGGATTGGTGGTGCCACTTGAAACATTAAGACATAAATAAACACTAAACAATATTTAGTTAAAACTTTGCCAGTCTAAAGAGGATGACTTGAGTTTAATGGAAAATATGTGTGAACAATGAAATAAGTAAAACAAATAAAAAATTGTTACATAAAAATTTAGTTTTAATTTACTAAACTGTTTAATAAAAACTTGTAAATCGTAATAAGATTAAATATTTTGTAAGTACATAGAATAATTGTGTATACTGTTTAAGATTCATTTATTTTTCTATAAAACGTCGATCAAGTATTGTTCACATATAATAATATAATAACTATAACATATAAAATATGTTGCAGATTGATACAATTAACAATTCATGGCATTGTTTGAAATACACCTGATTTATTGATTGCTGATAAGTACTAAAACCTTGGGGAAACTTCTCATTGTTCTAAAACAATCACTTGTACGATAGTTTATTGAACTTGTTGATAATGTTAACAAATGTAGCGAAATTTTAATGTACATGACATTTCAAATTTTTCATGGAGAATTATTTCCGAAATGCAGTATTTTTGAAAAAATAATTAAAGTTACCAATTAATGTTTAATGATTTTGTTTATTAGCTATTCAAATCGAATTAATTATCTATGTATTGTTAATCTTAAATAAACTTCTATTTTAAAATATCATTGTTTTTCTAATGGCACATTTCACAATCAAGTTGGGAAACATTAATTTCTCGTTTTGACAGCTAGTTAAGTTAACTGTCAGTAATGTTTCACCCTCTTTTGTTTTCTAATTCGTTGGCATATTTTTTTGGCAAACTGGCAAACGAGCTGGCAATTCCCCTGATGTTAAGTGATAACCGCCGCCCATGGATATTTGCAACACCCTTAGGGTTGCAAATGCGTTTCCACCCATAAATAAAGTAGGCCTCGGCTACCTCACTCACCAGACGAAACGCAGAAGTGTAACACTTCTACTTTACGCCGGTCTTCTGGGAGGTCGCGGTACTTACCCGGACTGACCTCTGCCCATTCGTGCAACAGTGGACACTGTTGCTTGGTCCTACCACAGTTAAGCTAAAGTTAAAAAGATTTTAACATCGTCTGTAATATGTGTTACAAGTGTTGTGATATGACGTTATCTACTCGAGTCAAGGGACACAGGTCGCATGGAGCAGCGGTCACTTCGATGGTTCGCGTTCCCAACGCGGCCGAAATCAGCGATATAACCACTAGTCCTGCTTGTCGTTATAATAGTTGTTAATATTCACGTTCAGTAATAGTTAAAATATTAGGATCAAAGCAAAAACTTTAAAATTCTTATACAAGATATTAATTTGTTTAGCTATTTCACTGCGTCGCGTCGTTACAATTTCTTTGCATATGTGAAAGGAATGTGAGATGTGATCATTCTTGGAGTTAGTCCACAGTTAGTTTCTTAGGCATTTTAACGCTATATGTGTTCAGTTCTAATAATAAAAGTAAAATAGTTTCATATTAACTAAATGGCTAATTGCCACGCCGACGAAAATCTCAAAGTATTTTATCTGCATTGTTTTTTCGCATATTAATGCCCGGAAGACGTGGGTTCGTTTCCTGCGGCGAGTATGCGGTTCATCATTGTGCACAATGCGTTGCCAAATATTTAAAAAGCGGGCTGTGGTATTTCCCCATAGTATTACATAGTGAGAAAAGATGTGCTTCCTTTTCCTTACTATAGAAGACTCCCAGTAACCATTAGATCGCATGATATTGAATGGATGTCGTCCGTAGTAATATGGTTTTCTTTTTGACCCATTACGGTCATCTTCCCTTTAGTGGTAGAGTCAATAATGATATGATATTTGAACTGTGATTGTTTCGCTAGAGGCGACCAACGAATCTTACAGAAAGTGCTTGTATTTTTTTCGTTTTATTTTATATTTGAGTTTATTACCAACTGTGTTCTATATACACACCCATTAGATAATCTGTTTCTACGGCATACATGCAATACATGGTATTTTAAAATTTAATTTCTTCATAATATACCTACTATATTATAACTTACTTTACTTAAAAAAGTAAATGACCTATAATTATGTTATATTTCATACTGTTGAACATAGACCCCTTTACAGAGGTTATTAGTTCGGCACGCCACTCTACGCTGTATGTCTTCGAAACGTTTTTTTTTATTATTGTTCAGACGTGCAGGTTTTTCTCAATGTTTTTGTTCGTAAAGAGGTCATAAAAAATCAGAACTTAAAATGCATAATCTATTTATACTGCCTTGTAATTGTATGTAATTCTGTATAGTGAATTAAAAGCGAGCTTCCGCAAACTGAACTGTCACGGTTCTTAATATATACAAATTGTATTCGGTATAAACACCAACATTCATAGTAATATTCTTACAATATACAGCTTTGGCTAGGCTAAGAATGAAAAGCTTTCATGATATACATCAAGACTGTATTTATCCTACAAAAGTATAACATCATTAAACTGTTGTTAACTTTATATAGAGAATCTTATAATGTTCTAAAATTTAACAACACTAGCTGACTCGATAGATGTTGTTCACAAGTCTTAAATCAAAAAATTGAAAACTTTAATTGAATAAGTTTGTGAATCTTAACCATTCTCGACTTCAGTTTTTTACACAAAATTTTCTTCAAAATCGGCCGAACCGTGTTAACACGCACAGAAGAATTATGTATATAAAGTTTATTAATATTTTTAATACCAACGTCAAAATTGGTTAAACTCCTATTCCTACTTTGTTACCGGGTAAAAAAAGATCACGATAAATTGCAAATACATATTTTTTTACCGACTGAATAAGAAAGCTTTTAAATCTTTCTATTTCGAGAACGAGCGTGTTATGATTTGAACGAGAACGGTCTCGAAGTTCTCACCTACTGGCTCTAGCTCTGCATTAATCTGTCGACGAGTTATCTACTTCAAAAATACGAAGATTATAATAAAATGATTAATGGAAAGGTGAATGTTAGAATCTATTATTAGTGCTATAACAATAAACTGTACCATTTTTAATACTTTGTTATAAACAATTTTATACGGATTCTCGTAAATGAAGTATTTTTACATCGATTTAGAAAAATAAATATGTATTTTAAATTAATGTGTAAGTTATGTATATTCAATTGATATACATTTATACAGAAATATATTAAATATTCATAAATATTAAAAAAAATAAAACCAAAATAAAATTTAACAAAAGAGCTAAGCAAGCTTATAAGCTAGTTACGTCGCCAAATTCCATTAGTTCATATCGTGAGCGAACATTTCATAATTTGAAACAAAACACACACGCAACAATACAATAATTCGCTGTATCACCGACATTTACAATTTCGCTTAAGTATTTTAGAGTCTGCAACCTACAACGATCGATTATAGTGCTTTAGCTCACATAAGCTACGTAACATTTTTGACTATATTCTTGGATCGCTAGTATAGTCATGTATGTATGGGGTATACAAACATACCCCACCTTAATATATAGTTTAAGTATGTATGGTATATGTAGAGTGGTTTTTTTTCTACAGATTAAAAATTTTTATAGTGCCAGAGATTACCACATTTAAATTTGTAGAAAAAGGACGAAAAGTTTGTCGCCGCTGTGCGAATCGAACCCACGTCTCCGGCATTTGCGGCCTGACGCTTTAGCCACTACGTTAAACGGCTGATTGCCACACCGACTAAAACTTTGACGTCTTTTATCTACATTGATTTTAGCATTTTTGGTTTTAGACCATGTTCCAGCATCGACCGGTCGACCAGTACCTTCCAGTGGTCCGCCTCCGTGCGGAAACTGGTGGTCTCCGCAGGGGCCGTCTCGAAGCCCCTCTGGCGCTCCATCTCCTCGGCGCCTCGCTCCACCTGAACGGTCACCGCCAACGTCCCACTTCAAAATCCACCACCACCACAATCAGACCAGCTTTACGCACGCGACCACGTGATACGTGAAGTATATTTGGCTCTATGTAAATCCTTAATACTAATATGCTCCTCATTAGTAATCAAATTGTTAGACAAAGTTTATACTACAGTAGCTAAACATTTAGTGCAAACCTACCAATGTCAATAACATTGAAACATAATACGAAGACAAAAATTCGTTGTAAAAATACTTTTAATACGTTATGTAGTATTTACTTATTTGTGTTAGTATTAGTTTGGACATCAGACTTAAGCAGACTGTATGGCGACATTCTGTGAATAGCTGGCAAAATAAATGTCTAACTGTCTCTAACATGAACATAATATCTGTTTCGAGTAACAGACTGCGTATTTTGAGATTAACAAACCTACAAGTTATTAATTAATGATATATGATATTTAATAATTGTATGCCATTATGAATGCCACAATTTCTCACAGCTTTAAAAAGTCTTGCATGTAGCCTATTAATACATTTATTTACTATCTCTTCCACTAACCGATTCACTTGTCGTAATAATTTGCGTAGTATTGACTTATTTTTGAACTTTACAAAAAGAATACGCTTAAAACCTTAAAGTTTTTGCTATTGGGTTCAATTGTATTTAATGAAATTTTTTAGGGAAAGACATTGAGAGGAATCTGTAAATAAAAATAAAGAGAAAAATAGAGAACATAAGTAATTCTATAAAGGACGTTAATAAGTTCATAATTAAAGAAAAAACATTTTCAAAGGCGGCTTTTATGTTTAATGCTAAATGCCATTTTTAGTTATAATTCTCGATCAAATCTAATCAATTTAATCGCAATGCTGAAGATACTGGAAAAATATTAATAAAACCTCGTGTAAATCAGTAAAAGTGAATAACATATACATATGTACTCTTTTTCACTGGACGATTTATCACTTTGAACACTGCTTGTACTGAAGGAATTATGCAAGAGAAACATGATAGAATAAGAATAACGTAACGTAAGAATGGTGAATTCGCATTACGGCGTTACAATTTATATCTAATTATATGATATATATCTCATGACATTATTGCCCTGAAGAAATATCTGCTACCATAAAAACATCGTCATTAATAACGTAATAGGTCCGTCGTCCGAAAAAGATATTTAGCTCGTTTATTGCTATTCTATTCGCGGAGGACAAATTAGAAAATAATGCCAAGTCTCAAATATTTTAATAGCTGGCACAAGTTGCTACATGATATTGGTGTCTCGATAATACCCGGGTATTCGATAGTGTGAGATTATCTGATAAGATAGCTAGTCACTGTTTCTTGGGCCGTGTTATTATGGCTTTAAATATTTAAAAACCGATGTATCATGTACCAATTGATTTTAAAAACATTCACGTTATTAATGAAATCATTTACCGAGTGCTAATCTTTACACCTAACAGTTATAATGAAATTTATTTAATTTAAATAGAAACTTGTTACAACATGTACGTTTCATTTCATTACGGATAAATTAACTGTGAAGTTTGTATTGTCCATTTAGATTTATTTACTCGTGTGCATTATTATATTTCTAATTAGATATTTGATGCTTTCCTTTACGCCATAATAAAAGCAGGAAAATTAAGACGTAAAAGTGAAATCAATAGAGAAATTACTCTTCCGTCCTACAATCTCACGTTGTAAAATATCTTCTTACAATATTAAATTAAGTGTACCGTACCTTGGGTACGCTTTATTGCCTTTTTTATTATGAAATTGCAACATAACTAATCAAACTCACATCAAAAGCGTGAAGGCAAGAACATAAAAGTTAAATTTAAAGTTACCCCCTTTCTGATGTACGAGTAAACAGTTACCTAATTAGTTTTGATTGAATTGAGAAATAAGCGCAGCGCCAATTCGATTATAAAATTCTGTACACATTTCGATATTAATATTTTTATTCAAACCGGCTGGTAATGTGTTTCTTGTATTGCAAGAATGCACAAGAGAAAGTTGCCTCGTTTTATGATGTTGAACCGTTTACGATTGTCATTAAACAGTTTAACGGAGATTTTGGCCCATTATAATGACTTTGTGTGGTTTTTTTTAAGCGAAAACTTCTATACGCACGTTGTGCAATTTTGGACATAGAAAAATTAATGGGTTCGCGTCACTGACATGCTAATTTTACGTGTTTGTCATAGGTCTTATTAAATGTTTTGTAGTTTTAATTATTCATAGTATAATTCATTAAAAACAAAAGTTTCACTTCTGTCGGTAGATCCCATGACTGCTTATTTTTTATGTGAGAAAGTGGCAAGCAAGCTGGCGGTTCACCTGATGTTAAGTGATAACTGCCCTCCATGGACATCTGCAACACCAGGTGCGTTGCCATGTTTCATTAAAGTAGGCTCTGGATAGTAGGATCTTACCCACTTTACGGTGGTCTTCTGTGAGGTCAAGGTACATCCCCGGACGAACTAGTCCATTCGTGCAATGGGAATTGCGTGGCCTTACCACAGGAAAGCCAGCTAGGTTACATTTACATTTAATAGAGCGAACCCAATGCTGTCAATTTCAATTACAAAACTTACAACTTTTCTCTAACAATTGATCGTAACTTTAGTAAAACTAACGGTTGATTATCATTTTTAAACTCCCGACGTCTTGACTACTTTCCAGGATTCACGGTCACGGGCTCGACTGAAATGTTTGACGTCTTGAAGCTAAAAGGCAGGTCCGTTCGTGGGAGTACCGAGACATCACAGAATATCGGCGTTAAGTCGAAGTGTTATGCTGTAACGTTACGTCTGACGAGTGAGGTAACCATTGCCCACTTTAAGTTGCCCACTTTTAAGGTGGCAACGCATCTGCGACCCAATGGATGTTGCAAATATCCATAGGCAGTGGATATCACTCAACGTCAGGTGAATTGCCAGCTAATTTGTCTATTTTTTATTGCTTCTCATATAACAGAAATGCCAGAATGATGCCATTTTGAAAATATGAGTGCTCTTATTGTATTCATTTGTTCCCAATCTTAAAACGATAAGTAATTTAATCAGATTTGAAGGTAATCCCGGCTTCACTATTAATTACTCTGTTAAAAGAGTATATCCACCCATTGAGGCTTCACTACGTTGCAGGAGCTTATTACGAGGTTTATTATCCTTCATATATTTTCTGTGCAGTGTTCAAATGCATTCAGGGCGGCCAATATGAAGTTTTACAGCTTTCGGCAGTGTGCAGGCGTCTAGTAAATTACGCGTACAGCTATGTTATTAACAAGTCACGGTTGATGTTATGACCGAGACCACTTATGGCGATGATTAATTAATGTTATATCACACGTACGTATAAATAGTTTGGTACTGCACTTAGTGTCCCGCTTTTATCATCAACAATAAATACGCCTATCAGCGAAATGGAAACGAGTAGCTCTTGTAAACATTACAAGGGGAATGTTATAGATTTCCCTTGTTTATTATACAAATAACAGTCGTATAAAATTTTTCTCGAGTCCGATTTATTAACGTGGCTTTAATAATAATCAATAAAATTTTAAAAGTTTTCATCATTTATGCAATTGTGATAGTGAGAGACTAATGTGGCTATTTGGAATTCTACGGCTTGCATAGAGGACAACAGATTATAATGGATTGCAATTATAATGACACGAAACCGTGCTGTACAGTACTTATTCGCAGTGCTGTCGGCCTTGAGTGATCATCAACGTCATTTGATCATTACTCACAAGTAAATATCAAATAATCAATGTGTGCTATTGCCTATTGAACTTGTTTAGGTTTCAATTTTATTATGATATCAGTATTTGCAACAGCGTAGTATCGGATATTTGTATATTGTAATAGTATTGTCCATTTGATTTAGTACTAGCTGCTGCCTGCGACTACGTCTGCGTAGAATAGGCTGAAGGCGTAACATTCAAACACAAAAGCATATAAACATAAAAATATGTATTTAAATGATAGCCTACGTTTTATTCTGATGTATATAAGCTACATTATTGTAAAGTTTCGTTAAAATCCATTGAGTAGTATTTGCGTGAATGAGTAACAAACATCCATCCATACATACAAACTTTCGCCTTTATAATAGTAAGGATTAGAAATTATCTCGATAATTTCACCATGAATGCTTTCAGATCAGCAAGCTAACGTAAGGTAAAGGCGAGAGGAGCGAATTTAACTGGAAACGAGTGTCGCGTGCTAAACGAGCCGTGGACCTCTTTGAGTGGTCTCCGGTGCTGGTCTGACTGGAGCTGGTGGTGGTGGTGCTGAGCGTGGAGAGGTCGCTGGAGGCGCGAGCGGAGCGCAGCCGCGGCAGCACCGGCGCCTCGTCAGCGTCCGGGGTCGCCAGCTCGCAGGGCCAGCCCAGCGCCCGCGCCGCCGACCACACCGCGAACACGAAGGTCAGCATGCTTCGGCTATCGGGCAACACGCCGGCCGCCTCCCCGACCCGCCCCCGGGCAACACTCCCGCACATGCATCGGAACAGTTCAACAACACGCACGTGCACCAAAGCTAGTTCTACTGGCGCGGACACCGCGAGACGCGGGTGGCTCACGCGCGGACGCCACCACTACTGCACGGCCTGCCCGCATACAATGTTATCGTCATATCAATACTCATTCGCATATAATCGTTTAAAAGTGTTCTTTCGATCGCTCCACGCCGAAACGAAATCAACATTAGCGCGCTCCGCTACGAATCGTCTTTGGACTGTCCATCATCGTATTCACTCATTCTTTATAGCGCGACGCCCGGTATTTCATAGCGCCGGTGGTGGGGCACGCGTGTTGATGTTATTTGTGTTGAGCGGCGATCGTCCGTGACGCGGCACTGTTGACGTTCGCGCGGCGCGGGGAACATGGGGCCGACGTCACGCTGCTCGGCCCACCCGCGCCGCCGCTGGCGAAAGGACACGTTCTATATTCGCAAATGACCCGCACTCGCATCACCGATAGAACGTCGCTTCAGTGCGTAGTTTATCTCCGAATCTGAGAGAACGTCACTTGTTGCACGCGCGCAGGGCACCGGCGGTGGCGTCGTATCACGGCGGCCGTCGTATCGATCGCAGTGTTGGTCACGGTGGAGAGGTGCGTGCCGTGGCGTGCAGCCCGTAGGCGAATTGTGCTAATGTCGCTGTGGACAGGAGCAGCGTCGCGGAGCATCCTGCGGCTGCCCGGCGGCCATGTTGGCCCCGCCATTTTGCTGGGGGTCGAATGGGGCGAGCCGCATGCGTACGCCGGCACGCAGCCCCCGGGGCAAAACGGCGTAAGTCGCGACGCCGTTCGCAATGAAATCAGCACCTTAACCCCTTGGTCTTAAGGATCACAACGGGAGCCAATGTGGAGTGCGTTCGTTTATAGGTCAGGCGAAAGCCTCGAGTGAGTAAGGTGAAGCTTGCTACGGATCATGAGAACTTCAGGTTAATAGATTTAGGTTAAAAAATGTTTATTTATATATGCTTATCATCTACATTTCATTACTTTTAAATTTTAAACAATATCTGGAAGCTAATATTAGAAAGCGTCTGAAAAAATTATCCTCCGGACTTTTTGAATGTTTTCTCTAGAAAATGGGAGTTATTACTGACTGACCCCTAAGATCTGAATATTCTAGAGTTTTCTTAATTTATGAATAATAAGTGGCTATTCGTTGTAAAGTCAAGTTGTAAAGTCAAAAGAAAAATAGCAATACGGCTCCTTTTCGTTTTCCGGCATCTTAGTTTTCTATAATACGCAAGGCAAATATTTTACAGAATAAATAAAAACTGTAACTTAAGGTGAACCAAACTTTAAACCAAAAATACGCGAATGTACTGATGATAAAACCACTCGAAATATTCTTAATAAAGCATCGAAATAGTTCATTGTCTTTAAAAATGTTTAACTTAAATTACCTCCTACGAAATTTCTTATAACAAAAAAGGATAAGAAATCATTGATCAAATATTTTCATACCAATTATTCATTTTAGTTACAAATGATTTAACATATTGTATTATTCATATTATCATATGCTACCTAACAGTTTGTTGTTTAATGTTTTCAAGTAGCAATGGAGATTGCTCATTTTAATTTAGAAAAAGTACCTACTTCAGTTTTGCGTCTCCCTTATATAAAAGGGGGATTTAAACTCTGTGGAGAAGTTGCGTGGCTCAAGCACGTGGTACACTACGACCTCGACCGTACTATGTAACTGCTCTTAGTCAGGGGTTGCGTTAGATACAATCCTTATTAGTTTTCAGAGATTTAACGAAAATCTAAAAATTCTAAACGATGATGCAGGCTTTAACTTCTTGAATGGTAGAATTTAATCTACAACATGTAAGTATAAGTCGTGAAAGGAAATTGTAAATCTAGATAAAACGATGAGGTATGAACAGTTGCAGTTACGTTCTTTTATGTAGCAACTTAAGGTTACGGTTACCTATATTATTGTAATTTTATACGATTTTCCTTTGATGTAAAAATCAAGTTATCATGAAGTGTATTTATAATTTTAAAAGCTTCTTTCTTATTAACGAGTAATACATTACCGTTGTACAATGCAATCGCAATATGCAGATGAATGCCCCGCCACAATTTGAGAAAAATCTATCCCAATTAACTTTTAAGGTTTTTTTAATGATCCCGATCTCACGCTTATAGAGGGTATAGCGATGGAACATCTCTATTTACCATGTCATAAAATCGAGATATGAAAGCACGTAATGCCTTCAAGTACAATTAAAAATAAGCAAGACATCAAGACAACTCATACTAGTAAGTACTTTGAAATTTCGAAACTTATTTCCCATGCGGGATCTTCTCCGGTCGTTCCCCTCTCGGCTCATCAACCTCCATCCTCTTTGTACATGTGCGTAGCTTGTTAATAACTTTGTTAATTTATCTCGAAAATTATAATTGCAAAATTTACTTCGCCTTCACGGAATTACGGTTTAGACAAATTCTCCCTATGTTACTTAAAATCTGCATAGTGGTATTAAAGTCCTTCAGTACGTAGTAAATGTTTGCATTACATCAATTAATCTTGAGTAAAAGGCAAGTAATAATTCAACTTTTTTATGTCACGTATAATTATCAGTGTTAGGTATACTTCATATTAAATGCTTAATACGTTTTTATTTTTACGATATTTATAAAATTAGCCATTGTTAATATTAATGATTCATTACATTGTCACGCGAAATAAAAAGAAACAAACATCAGTTTTCCTTTAATGACTATATATTAAGAAACCGGTAAGGTTTGAAGATGCGAGCAGTTTATATGTTTCTTCCGCCTTCTCTGATTAACTGAAACGGTTTTAATAAATATGCGCTATGAAAAGGATTGCGTACACATAACAACGTATCTCAATATTATATTTTGTAGGTATTGGCTTATGTTGACTCTGAGCTTATAAATTCTTGATATGGGTTTTTTGATTGCTCAAATGTTAAGAAGAATAGAACTAACGTGGGCAAATGATGTTTGTTGCTAGCTTTTACTAAACCAAGCGACGAAGATTATAGAACGTTATTAAGAATATAAAAACGATTTAGAGAATCAGCCAATGACACATAATCTGCACCTATAGGATGTATTTTTTCAACAGAAATGCACATGCCCTGCACATGCACATGCCCTCAGTGGAACCAGCTGTCACCGGCGGTCATTACTACTATGATTAGGTGAGCCTCCTACCCATTTGCGCCTCTTTTCCTTTAAAGGGACTTTTTGGACCTAACATTCAACCAAATCAATTACCGTCAACTCCTAAGATGGTTTTGCTTTATAGCTCCAGCTTAATTCCTCCGAAAACGAATAGCATGTTTTAACACCTCGCGCGTTTATGTAAGCTTTGTAATCGTTATAGCGTCTCTTCTAGCTAAGTCATATTCATTGACTCACCGACTACTTTTAAACCTAGGATTTGCATATTTTGTAAATTGCCACCTTAAATCGAGTTTATTTTATATCATGGTAAAATAATGTTTTCTTCTTTTTCCTGCTGTTATCGCACACTAGGTGGCATCTCAACAACATGTCCTTTACTATTTCAGCTGCCATCTCAATACTTACAGACACATATCACAATCCATAAAGTCCATACATATTTTTCTCATTTTTTCCTTTAGCTTTACACCGTACAACCACACATATTCATTACTCATCTAGTCATATTACTTTTCTTTCTAGTCACATGACTCTCTATCCTTCTACGTTAAAATATTGTGTTATAATTTAATTTTTTCTTCGTAAATTTTATAAATGTAACAAGGCTTGCACCTTAATGAATACCTAAATAAATAAGGCTATAACTTTATTAGGTCTGGCTCATTCAGCAGAATACATCGCAATAAGAGGTATAGCATACCTTATGGTGGTATATATCATTTTTTTAACTAAATCTCTTTTTTATATTATCTCTACAAACAGAGCAATTACCATACTTGTACGTTGAAGTAATTTAATGTTTCTACAGCTTCTAAGAAAAACATTATTATTTGTAAAACAAAAGCTTTGACTTTGTAGACTGCCTTAATGTTTCATTTTATATTGTTATGATATGCGTTTATCTTGCATGAAACAACAATGAATATATTATGTCTTGTACATTCGAGGAATATTGTTTCCATATAACGCTTGACAACAAATGACGTCGTTACCTTGGAATCAAATAGCCTTGTTCTCGCCCATAATATTATTACGTTTGTGGCTAAGGGTAATTACTGAGGGATTGCGCGTACGTCTAAGATAGTAGGACAAAATAGGCCAGTTTCTTCAATCTCGTCTAAGAGCAATAATTTATCAATACTATATTTTAATAGAAGCCAACACCAACACAAATTTTGTAAAGAATGTAATAATATATACATATTTGACATTTCCATATATATGATCTCATACGTGGTAAGGTTTAAAAGACTACCCCTCAACCCCACCCAAAATCACGTGTATTTTCAGTTCCTATAAATATTTTTTAGTATCTTTACATATAGGTATAAAGCATAATCCAGTTAATTTCTGAAATTAATAACCATGATAAAAATGCAACGGCGAGTCAAGGTCACGCCGCTTTTCAGTTTACGTAGAGGTACGTTTACTTTTCGTACGTTTAACTAAAAACTAAAACACGTGATATCTTACTACACCCCGCCATCCCCCCTTTCGAGCTTCACGTGATTAATGGATGGCTCCATTAGAGAACAATTGTTAAATGCAAATTATTCGTATTGAGAATTTATATCAAATAATGTTATTTTCTCTTAGGACACCAGTTTGTCGAAATTAACATAGCGTGTGGTACTAATACTATTTTTTTCCGGTACAAAGTGGCCCCGGAAGACTGGTCAAGTCTGCGGGTAATGACGTAGAACGGCCGCTACAAACCCAATTAATCCTTTAAGTGCTAAATAACATTTGAAATGTAGTTATAACGATAATGCCATAGTTAAATAAAATGTGTTTTTCTAAATGTAATCTAAGTTTTTATAAGTTTAGGTTCACGGTTTAAGGGCTCAATGTCATATTGTCTAGGATTTATAAAATTATTACATTACCTTATAAGCCTTTATTGAGTTATTTCAATTGTTTTTATATATATTTTCAATTGTTTTTATATTATGGTATAACATAAGTTCCAAAAACAATTTTGAATCTAAGTTTCTGCTATACATCTGTGGCGGGTGCCCAGACACTGAGCTATCACGGCCTTACCAAAGGTACCGCGTTTATAATTATAAAATTCATATTGATGTTCTATCGCAAATTCAAAATATGCAAAAATTTCAGATTTCCAAAATAGAAAAGTTCTTATATCATAGTTTTATTTAGATATCTGTGATCTTTTTAGATACTTAAATCGGTTAAAGCAAAAACCAATGTCATTTTGTATAAAATATTGGTTGACATAGACAATATTCAAGACGAAGGGCACAAAACGGATTCATTTATGAAAATAAATGTGTACGATGAAATCCTTTGTGAAATTGTCGCGAAATCGACGATTTTGATTCAAGAGATGATGTATGATGAGTGGTAGGTACCACTCGTTAACTTTCTTATAAAGTCGATTGATGCATCAATCGAGTTGCATGCATGTGCTGAAGTGTCTGCGCTCATTTACCGGTTGTGATGCGTGTGGGGGTCTTCCTGGCTGCTACTGCGCTTCCTCTTGCGTCGGAAGCACCAGTCCTGGCCCATCGCATCACAGCCGGCGTGCCGTGAACCGCCTCCGCCCAGGGCGCGTTCCTCTCGCACCACCGCTCTCTTAACGCCCTTCAATCGTCGTTTGGCCCATCCGCATCGTAACGTTGTTCGTTCATGATAGGAATTCGATGGTACAGTTTAACAGTAGACGTTTACGCGGTTTCGTTGCACTGACACTTTAATTATGAGTAATTTAAACTTCAGTTATGCGTTTATTTAGATACAGAAGACGGGTTTCGCTGATCGGGACACTGTAGATATTTATTGCTTTTAGCCGACGAGCTTTCACTGTTTCTCCCCGTACTAAGGTCTTTTCAGTATGGGATCGTGCGGTTGACGTTTCAATACAACGTAAATAATTAACACGGCGTTCCCTCAGGTTAGAAATTTACCTTATTTAATAATCTTGTTTATAATTTTCAAATCTACTTTGTCATGAGTTATAAACATTTCTAATTTTCTATTATATGTAATTATTGTCAATATTTTAAGGAAACAAGAACAGTATGTTAATGACGAGAACCTAAAGCAACATGACAAGTCGCCTGGATTTAAATTAAGTATAAAATTGTCTAGTTTGTATGAAGATGATAAACATGCAGTCTAATAAACAAAAATATTTTTATAATCGTTTAGCAACTAATAGCTCACGTATGCAATGCAAGATTAAGAAAATATAACTAACCTAAGATTAATTGTGAGTCAATCAAATACGTTTATCTGAAGTAAAGGCTGCAGAAAAGAAATTATGGTCATAAACTAGTCAATATTTATTTTGAAATAAAAAATAATTAAAACAAACCATAATTATTTTGTTCCTAAATTGAATATTTTAATTTGCACTAATTTTGAAAGAGTCGTGGAATGGTTGCTTACAAACAATTAATGAAGTTGGTAGCGTTTTAATAAAGATTTTTTTTTAATTTTGCAAAAAAAGCCTTGAGAGCATTTTGAAGATCAACAAAAGTATTATGAAGTAAAGTTTCTTTTTATTGAGTTTTGCATTTCTAATGAATTTCTCATTAAAACTTGTCTTAATTCATTCCTGAAACTACGGCTTCTTTGATAGCCAACGTATAAATTACATAATATCATTTTTTTATGCTAAACGGCTATTAAAATTATAATATTCTAGAATATTTAAGTATACGATAAGTAGATAAAATAAAAGAATCGTTGAAAATATTTACATTTAGGATAGAGAGTTGAAGAAATTATACATGTTAAGATAGATACTTATGTATCATATTATAGATATATTAACCAATTTTGCTAAATCTCATTACGATTCGTGAATACACATTAAAGTGTGGACATTTTCCATGCGGAATGGGAAAGCTAGGAAAGTTGTAGTATTGTATGTGTTTTTTTTTCATATAATATTCAAAACATTATTCTGTTTAGGACAATTTTGACCCTTTCCCGGATCTCATTTGACCTTTTCGGATCGATACAGGTACGACTATGTACGTCAAAATGTGACAGCCGGATGGAGAAGGGTTTCGGTCGTACAGACTAACCTTGGAGCGAATCATTAATGTAAACATAACAGATTTTGTGTATTCCGAGCCTCTTCCACAGTTTTGAAGCCTCGAAAGATAACAAAGAAACTTATAATGGATTCATGTATGCATTCTTCTGAATAAAATTTAACATGCGCGAAGTAGGTGGAGAGTGGACTAAAGCAAGGCACTATACTCATATTATATTAAATAAAAATATAATAAGCAGAGATTATATAGGTTTTGGTGAAATTATCTTCTTTAATGAGAGAATTAAGTGATAACCACTTCTTTTTGTTAAAGCCCCTTGGGATTGCAATAGTGTTGCCACCTTATAATAGAGTGGGCCTCGAGTACCTCACTCACAAGACGAATCGCAGAAGTACAACACTTCCACTTAACGCTGGTCTTCAGTGAGATCATGGTATTAATCCAGACGAACCTGCCCATTCGTCTAACAGCGAAGATTTTTTTGTTATTAAAACGGATTAAGATGTATACAATCTTGTGTAAATTTTTTAATATTAATTATTTTATGTCATAAAAGAAATAGTCTTTTCCTTCTTAACATGTTGGCTAAAATTTTGAATTTTTATCATGTTTACATTTTTATTGTTATGACTAGCCGATTTGACATTTTAGCCATATAAATTATTTCTGGGGAGTTTGTAGGGTAGCAAAAAATATTTGAGGTGGACCACATTTATCATATAGAAAATTATTTTTCTATGTGTTCAGTTTCCCTGAACACATTTTTATGTATATCAATTACGCTCCGGTAAAAGTAAACAAGAAGTCCCACAACTCATAATGTCCTGAATAATTAATTTCTAAATGAATTTAATTGCAATAAGAATAGTGTTCATCAATGGAAACACTTAATATAAAACCGGTCGGTGAATGACTGCTGCAAGAAAGAAGCCAGGATGCAGTTGGCTGAACATCTGGGTTATGAGATAATGGACGCTTTTCTTTACAAAACCTGTTACTGCTAATCTAGATTATGCGTGTCCATGTTGAGTCGCATTAAAAATGTAATTTAATGGTAATTCGTAAAAAATGTATGTAGATTCGAAATCCTTAGTTCTTTTTTTTATTTTACTAATATTATAAACTTGAAATTTGTGTAATGTATGGTTGTATGTTTGTTATTCTTTCACGCTAAAACTACTGAATGGATTTTAATGAATCATTACAACATTATAGCTTATACATCAGAATAACACATAGGCTTATAATTTATAAGGATATTGCGTGAATTGTCCAAAATAGATAAATTCTGCCATCTGTGAGCTATTCTGGTTTATAATAAAAAAAAAAGTCTTTGCTAATTTCCTTTGGGCGCGGGCGTAGCCGCGGTTAACAGCTATTAAGTAATAATAAGTTTTTGATCCCAAACGGGGTGTTCAACAAAGGTGGTATTTATTACATATAGAAGCTAGTAAGCCCCACGTGAAGTGTATATCTGATTCTGTGTCACTAACGTACAAATGAACGGCGAAGGTCAAGGACCTTTGGAGGCGACCCCGTTTGTTTCCTACAGCCAAGTTACATCCGCGCGGCCAAATTTAAACTCCGACAATCTTTGTAAGCTTTAACTATAGCATCTGATCTGTTTAATCAGAAGCACTTAAACTTTTTTGCGTGTACTGCGGTATGCATTCCCAAAGGAAGAACAGCGTGAAGTAAAATTGAATAAAATGAGAGTACGCCAGATGAATAAGATAAAAAATTTTTAGGGGTTAACTTTATAAGGGGTAAAACAATTTATAGGGGTTTCGAGAGAAATGTTTCAAGCAATGCATTTCAAAATATGTCATGTCAAAGGACGTACATATTTAAGAGATATCTAATTTATAAGAAAATGTTTTAAAGTTGGTGAAATCAAAAGAGCATATAACGAATGTTGATGGATATTAGGGTAAAGAAAGTAGCTAATGATGACGTGATTTTGAAAAATACTATCACGATTTTGTTTCAACGTAGTCATTTCATTTACTTTCGTCTTAGTGCTAAAAGGCCAGCATACTTAGTGGTAAATGTCCATTATCTCATGTTAATGATAAAATCATAAACAACCCAAGTATATACCGAATTGACAGTTCGGTATATACTTGGGATGCTGTTAAACTTGCATGCTTTTAATTTTGTAAAACATACTTGAAAAATGAAGGTTGTGCGAATAAATATATTATCGTGATTTTACTTATCACTCTTGTTTCAATAGTACTCTTTATATCCTGTGTCCTTTTTATTATAGGTTTATATTGACACGGTATTGAAGATGTTTGTGATAAGTATTATAAGTAAGACATATTAATCACTTATGTGTTTAAGTTTTTAGATTGACCCGTTATTAAACGTAATGTTTAACTTTAGCAAGACACGATTGTCCCGCTTCATTTACTTCTGATCATTTGAGGTAGTGAATATACATACTAAGAACTAGTTTAGATGGATTGCAACAAATAAAGTGCTACTGTAAGTTTACTTTTCAAATGCATCGAATTATCACTACAAGCCACGTAAATGATCCAACCAAACGTAATCCTAAATAAAAGCTTTCAAAATCAACCGTATACCATTACTATTGAAAGTTAGCGAACCTGCATCTATTACAACTACGTCAAACTACTGACTGGCTAATGTCTACGATGAATACTTATAATGGTAGCGTAAACGAGAGAGTGCGCGCCGCACAATGTAACTGGCAACGCGTCAATTCGGCGTTAGCGAATGTAATGGTAACGTCGCTCTCATGTCGGACTAACGGGTTCGTTATTCGTCTATTGCTTGTTTGTCGTTGCGAATTAACATCAGGGGCTCGTGTTGGCTAAGAGGCCACGAGGCGGGAGAGGCGCGTGGTTGGTCGCGCGGTCGCGGGCACTGGCGCTGCGCCCCGGGAGCGCCGCGTGACGTCACAGGCCCCCGGCCGCGCATGCGCCCCCCGGAACACGGGCTCACTCAAAAATCCAACGAGGGCCCTCCATCGCGAGACCTCAACGGGATTAATCGATTTTTTAAGGTGCAGTTCCATGCCATCGGGGTACGTGCACCGGTCGATTTTGTTCATGGAAAATACACTAAAACCGAGTTAAAACTAAGTAAACAAAAACAAAGTTAGTAAATAAATCCGTATACATAAATGTATACGTATGTTTAAATTTTGTTGGATATCCGAACTTTTGCTTTAAATGGGACTATTTATTTACAAGGCACTTTATTTAATACTTATCTTGTTTATGCGTACTGAAAAACAGTATGTTTTTTTTTACAAATAGCTTAGTTTGAATGAATGAATGAATGAAATATACTTTATTGTACACAAACATATTGAATAATCAACAAAAATAGTACAAAACTATACAATAGGCGGTTTGATTTGTACTTTTTCATTAAAAAAAAATAGGTAAAATTATATTGCAAGAATTACGATATATCAATAAAGGAAAACGAAGTTAAATTTTACAGAAACAAACAAATTATAACCTAGAAAACTTTACAATAATTTGCATTCCAAATAATTTAAATCAGGAAATAGGAAATAAATCCGTAGTCCGAAACTTTCCACCCTTACTTTGTAAAAACTTTGGTGCGTAGGATTATTTTGTTAAGGCTTTTATTTTCATAAGCTTCAGTTATTTTTTTTTTACAGAAAGTTCAAAATAGGTACGTATTCGACATTGGGATTTATTATATTTGTATTACAGATTGTTTTTTTTATTCATCGAATCAATTATTATTATAGTTTTATTTGAAAGTTTTGCAACCTAAAACAAAATGTAATTTTAGCGTGTACGATCCTTGATCATTTTAGTTAAAGCCTGAGATTTCCAAAATATAAGTTCAATTGGTAAAGTTAAGTATTGTGAACGGTGAGATAATTTAATGTTCAATTCTGAATAAATTCACACAAATTTTTTTTCGCATACTTATGGTGGTTGTACAATTGTAATTTGAAGTGGACGGAACAGGTGTATCACGAATGACCGGGAATCAGATTTCACGAACATCAAATCCCGAATCATGGGTTCATGTGGGGATTGAACTCACACCGCAGATACATGATCACATAAACCACTGCATCATTAATGAGGTATTAGTTGTTCATATGTTACACTTTCTAAAAAAGTGAAAAACTATTTTAATCAAGTGGTTGGTTAAGTGGCAAACGGGGCCTTAACTTAATGTAGCTTTATAACTGTAACTTACAACGAATGACGTAATCCCGTTATTAGTATCTGCTACGGACGGTCTACGCCGGGCTACATACGTAGCACGTCCTGAAAAAGCTTAATTATTATTGTGTTAACAAATGTGTAACTTTCAAATCGTTTTGCTTTAAATTATGTTTGTGTCTACACTTTAGTCTGGTGAATAAGCTGAACAAGTGGTACTTCATATTTTAATTGACACTCACACATTTTTTTGTAATAATTGATGTACAATAGATTTTTTCTGAACTTCACCTCAACAGTCACTGGTTCAAAAATCGACTTAAATTCATCAGCTAAACTTCTGTGTGGCTGAGGATGATAAATGTCATTTTAGAGAATGCATTATAGTATGAAATTTATCAAGTCATATTTCACCCATGGTACCGGACTATCCATGAGTTTAACGGGGGGTGGTTTATCTACGTTTTTATGCGAAAAAAGGACGGCCGCGCTCTTGGCGGGATTGATTTCGATCCTCCATTGCCGAAACCAGTCACCGATGGTGATGGCTGCAGCTTGGAGGCGTCGATGGATAATTTCGGATGTTCTGCCTGCTGTATAGAGACAGGTGTCGTCGGCAAATAGGGCAAGTTCTACATCTTTGACTCGCGGCATGTCATTGGTGTAGAGCGTAAAAGGACTGGGCCCAACACCGACCCTTGTGGGGGGCTCGAACGGGATGCGTTGTCGAACACACGCCTTCGACGCGATAACGAAAGGTCCGATTACTTAGGAAGTCTCGTATTATGCATACGAGACGATCGGGTACTCCGAACCCGTATAACTTGTATACGAGCCCGTTGTGCCAGACTTTATCGAAGGCCTTTGCCACGTCTAAGAAGAGTGCTCCGGTGTTGGGTCCGCGTTGGCGTTTGACTAGTATGTGCTCCGTGATGCGGTGCACTTGATGGGTACAAGAATGTTTGGCTCTAAAGCCAAACTGTTCAGGGATGGGGAGCCCTTTGGCGTCCATAAGGGATCTTAGTCGGGCTAATATTAGTCTTTCAAAGATCTTCCCAAATGTTTTGAGAAGACTTATTGGACGATAAGAGGTTGGGAGGGTCGCGGGTTTGTGGGGTTTGAGGAACCCTATTACGTCAGCTTCTTTCCACTCGGACGGGAAGAAGCCTTCGGTTATAGCCGCGTTGTAAATTAAGACTAGTATCTGAAGGATGCTAGTAGGGAGAAGTTTGGTCACCTTATTGGTGATACCATCTGAGCCAGGCGCTTTGCGTGGGCGCAGTTTGTTTATTGTTTCTGCGAGTTCCGAACACGTGACCAGGGGAACGGGATCGCGGAGTGGTTCCGATGCTTTCCTTTCGACCTCTTCGTTCACCTTACGGAGGTGATCGGGGTGGATCGGAAGCAAGCTGGGGGAGCATTGGGCCTCTAGGCTGTCAGCTAGGCATTCGGCTTTCTCTTCGTCCAGCATTGCTGGCGTTCCTATCGGGCGAACTAGTGGTGGCATGTTTGGAGTGGCTATACCCTTGAGGGTTTTAAGAAGTTTCCAAAAGGCTTGGTGGGATGGTTTTATTGAGACTAAGGTGGAGTCCCACCGTTCGTTTCGTGAGTCTGCTATACGTGTTTTGACTTCACGTTGTAATTTACGTAGCAGTCTACGATTCGAGTCGGTGGGATATCTATCGTAGGCGCGTGTGGCCGCATTCTTGCGCCTCAGTAAGTCTTGTACATTGTCTGGCAGGGCCCAGCGATGGTCGTCCATCGCTGGAACCTGTCTCGAGCATTGCTCGACGACGGTGTTGACGTGACTCGTGAGGACCCGAATTGCGGTCTCCGTGTCCTGTTTGTTGTTGAGTTGGTCGGGGATCGACTCTAATATTGAATTGGGCTCATTAAGTTTAGTTTTGACTCTATGCCAGCTAATGACTGTTTTGGTTTGGGGGGCGGCTATTGCTGAGGGCCCTAGCTGAAGGAGGACTGGTCGGTGATCAGAGTGAAGCTCATGAATCACTTCCGGGTCGTGCATGGTCAGATTAATGTTTTTGACGACTGCAATATCAAGCACATCCGATGATTGTCCCTATATATAAGGGAAGTGCGTATGTTCGACTGGGGCTACAACTTCAAAGGCGAGCCTGTCGGATAGCGAGTCGAGTGCGGTGCCTCGACTGTTGGTGCGTGTCGAGTTCCATCGGATATGAAAAACCACTATTATATGCAATACAATTAATATTAGTTGAGAGCTTAACATTTTATAATTTAAGGTTTTTATCTCGTGTTTGAATATAATATTGATAAAATTTCTTTTTTGAGGAACCCAGAATATTGCAAAAGAGATATATTACATTTATCGAAAATGTTTTTAATGAATAAAAGAAGTATAAAGATTGATTAGTCCGAAATCTCCAATATAGTTTTATTAGGGATCATAAATTTTGTGTTTATATACCTTATCATTTTTATTAACTTGTTTTCTTATCTCTGCTCACTAAGTTTTCTGCATGTAAAATCAATTTCCGAAAAACAAAAGACTTGGAAGTTTTAAACACAGTTTCAGTTCTACTCCTCATGGATGTAGCATAAGAAAATTATGGAAGTCCCAAACTACAAAAGGACCGTAAAGAGATTAATATTTTGAGTCAATCTACTTCATTATCAATACATGAAAGTTTTTTCCATCTTGCGGGTTCGCATGTTAGCACATTTTATAGATGAATGTAAAGAAGCTTTCAGAAGTCTCGGATTCATTTCGGAAGCCATCTCGAAATGAATTTGATCATCTTGAATCCCAACGAACATAAATACAAACTTATGGTGGACAAAATAAAAAAAATCAGGCGTAACTTAAAACTGCAACAAAAGTTTTCACCGCTACTAGAATTCGTTCGAACCTTTGCCTTTCGGATTAAGCGTCAAGGGGTTCTAGCCACTAAGCTAAGTGCTCAGTTTCATTTTAAGTGCAGGAACTATCTAAAAGTTGGAATTAGATTTACACGATTTATTTGTTTGAAGCAGTACGAGGTCTCTCTTTACTATTTGCTGTCCACTCTAGGCGAGAAGAAAAGCCACGTTGGTTAGGTATGCATGGAAAGTACTACAGAGTGGATTCATTGCCCGGAGCTATGTTGCTACAGTAAGCTTTAAAGCTTTGCGTTGCTATCCTTTACTGATCTACGGGCCTGCCCCTAGAACAAACTTATAAAAGGTATGCCAATTTGAGAGTAAGACTCCGCTATCTTAAAAAGATAAAAATAAACGTTTAATGTCTACAAGTTTGTAAGTTGTAAATAGGTGGTGTATGAAAAATTTTGCATATAGCACAGAATGTGATAATTTGCCAGTTAATTTTATTATTATATTTCTTATTATATAATTTTATATATATTATTAATTGGGTTTATTAGTGAATTAATTACCGTTACAAATTAGTAAGAAAATTAAAGTTGCCTTGAGCATAAAATAACGTTAACGAACTGGAGTTTCAAAATAGAAGAACTAAAATGGATGACTATGAAACGTTTCTTCGAAATTAACGTGATATTTTATTATTCTTTTCAGAATTGGGACTACAACTAGAGCCAATTTGGGTCATATTTAGGAAAAGCTGAGCTGTTAAGTTATTTGGTAAACTGCAATTTTTATTCCTTTTATTTATTACTTTTTAAGAGCAGCTAAATTAAGTTATTTAACAGTTTTTTGGCTGTATCATTGTTTAAAATTTAAACTAGGTTGCCTAAAAATCCTGGACAGAATACTTAAAAAAATGATATGTTGCAACATCAAGATATTAATAAGAAAATATTATTCTGGATTGCAATATAAAACATATAGAATGTGCAGCCGTTGGGTTGTCTATTATTTACCTGGACGAACTAATGGGTTGTCAGGTGTAAAC